GGACTCAAAATGTGGTCAGCCATGTGGGAGTCCAGCGACCTTAACCACCACGCCACCTGCTGGCCCTAGCTTTATTTATTTATTTTTTTCCCTTTTAATTTTCTTTTATTATTTTTTGTTTGTTTCCATGAATCTTTTTTCTGTTATTTCTTTTATTTATTTTTATATTTTTCCATAAACATTTACTTTACATATCAAGAAAATTTTGCTCATACTCCATAGTTCTCGACAGTTAATAAACTTTCAAAATTTCAAAATACTGAATTTTAAAGATAATGTTCATAATCCTTATTATAATTTTCTATAATTTTGTTTGTGACTCTATAACAACAGAGACAGTATGGTTTTAAATATTTTTGAGAAAATATTTACATGTCAGCTACTCAAATGCCCCAGTACACAAGTCACACATAAACCTTCTCAATTCTGCCCTGCCTACCAAGTATTCTGTGATATACCATCTGCTAGCAAACATCAGTCTCTTTTTCCTCCTTCAACGTCTTTCTCAAGATAATCCTTTGGTTGGGACCAGCAGTTAGCATAATGGCTATGTTGTTGGACTCCCATGTAGTCCACTGTGGTTCAAGTCCTGGACCCTGTGGCTTAAACTCATGCCGGGCACGTGTGTGTGCGTGCCCAAGATCCTGAGAGGAGAATGGAGGAGAAGAGATTGCAGCGTGGCCATCCCCCCTGAGGGGTGATTTCCCACTTTCTGTCTGTCTCTGTCTTTCTGGCAAGGGCACGTGCCCTACAAAAAAAAAGATAATCCTCTGGTGTGGTTGCTCTTTTGCAATCTCTACTGATTACAATGCTGGGCTGGAAAAGTCCAGGTTATTTTGTGTTATACATTCTTTCATATATCTTCTCTAATCCTCTCTGCCAGGCAGAACTATTTATGGTACCAAGCCATCTTTCCAAGAGCTTCTGTTGGCTTACTTGAGATCCACCTTAGTTCCATAGTTTCCTGATTAATCTTCAGATATGACATTCTAGTCAAAGCTCTGTCCAATAATGAGTATTTCTAATTTCTGATTCAATGCAACAAGCATGACTGAACTTATACAAATAACCCTTCTGCCACAAAATAGGAATACTCCCAAATATTTTCCAATTCCAGAGGTATCAGGAAGGAAGAAAAGTTCGTTTCCATCTAAAGAAACAAAAATATTTTAACAAATTGCTGAAGCTATCAACAACTCAAAAGAAAGTAAAATGCTTAAATTGGAAAAACAAAGTATATTTTAAAAAATCAGTAATGTTTTACTCAAAAATCATAAAATTCTATTTCGCCAGTTCAGTCTTACGTTCAAACTTTCTTCTGTTGAATATGCTGTGCTACTGTGGTCCAATCTTTCTGCTTAACTCCTGGAAGGTAACACTCAATGTGATTATTGATATTTCTTGTCCCTAGCATTAAATTGGTCATTTTCTTGGTTGCCTTTTTTTCTCTTCTTTATGTGTCTTTAGTTTTCCTGGTAGAGCACTCCTTTCAGAACTTCTAGAAGATGTCTGCTATTGGCAAATTCTTTCAGGTCTTGTTTATCTGAGAATGTTTTTATCCTTTCTTTCCATATGAAACATAATCTTGCCGGTATAGTATTCTTGGTTGAAATTGTTTTTCACTTAACACTTAGAATATATTTTCCCATTCTTTCCTTGCTCGCATTGTTTCTGATGTGCGGTATGAGGTTAGCCTGATGGGATAACCTTTATAAGTAACCTGACATTTCTCTCTTGCCAATTTTAGTATCTTGTCTTTGTCTGTAGATTTGGCCAGTCTGGATATGATGTGCCCTGGAGAAGATATTCTTGGGTTGATTCTATTAGGGCTCCTTTGTATTTCTTGGGTCTGGATATTTGAATGCCTCTCTAGATTTGGAAAGTTTTCTTCCAAGATTTCATGGAAGAGATGATCAATGCCTTTATTAGTTTCCTCACCTTATGGGATACCGATTATCTGGATGTTTGGGCACTTAATGCTGTCTAGTATTTCTCATATAGTATTCTCATTTTTGGGAGTTATTTTCTCAGGTTTTTTTTGGTTGTTTTTTTCTAGATGAGAGGTTTTACCTTCCACATCTAAGATTCGATTATGTGCATGGACTAATCTGCTTTTAAAACTTTCAAGGGAGATTTTGATTTCCTGAATGGCAGCCTTCATCTCTAATAGCTCCATTTGATTCTTTTTAATGGTATATATTTCCTCTTTCAGATCATGGAATAACTTCAGCACCTCTGGAACTCGTTGGCTCTTTTCTCTTGCATCTTCTGGAGTTTATTATCTCTCACCTCTTGCATCTCGTTTAGTTTTGTCACTACGAATATTCTGAATTCTCTATCAGACATTTCCACGAATTCTACTGTATTGTCTGTGGATGATGAGGGTTGTTCTTTTCCCTTAGGGGAGAGATATTTTCTTGGTTTCTCATGTTTCTTGTGCATCTGTGGTGGTTTCTGGGCATTCTGTGACAAAATCTCTCCTCCACTTGTCTGAATATTTTAGGATTCTAGAAGATGAAGTTTAGAGCATAGCTTCCCTAAACAGGCCAGGACACACCTCCAGTCCTATTTTAATTTTTTTTTTAAGAGAGATATTTGTTAAAGGGCGTGTGTGCTTGCTGGAGAGATAAGAGACAGAAAGTAAGAAATTACTCCCCCCCCTCCCCCGGGAGATGGCCACACTACAATCTCTTCTCCATTCTCTCAGTATCTTGGGCATGCACACACACATGCCTGGGGTGAGTTTTTGTTTTGTTTTGTTTTTTATTTCAAGTTCTTTTATACATTCAAATACATTATTTACCTTGCAAAGTAAGTATTTCAACATGTATGCATTTCTCCCCAGTCCAGTTTATAATACTATAAAATTATCTTCAACAGATAATACTCCATTTCTTTGTCCATTTATGCTAAGCCTCTCTATTTTTTTCCTTAACGTCCTTCCTCAGACTCTACTCCTTCACCCACCCTCTTCCCACACTATATCTGGTATTCACAACTATTTACTGTGTTTCTATATCCTTTAGTCATTCAATTTTGGTCATAGAGTGTGGACACTCAGTATATATTAAGTGGAGGCATACAATGTCTCTCCTTCATAGCCTGGCTTGCTTCACTCAGCAGTAAATCTTCCATATTCATCCACTTTCTGTCAAAAGCCAGAGTCTTATTGTTGTTTATGGCTGAGTAGTATTCCATAGAGTATATGTGCCAGTTTTTCAATCCATTCATCTGTTCGTAGGCACTTGGGTTGAGTTTTAAGTTGCCAGACCTGGGATTCAATTCGCAGTCGACTATGTGGGAATCCAGCACTGTAATCATTGCACCATCTGCTGGTCACTTGTTATTATTATTTTAAATTTGACCAGAGAAAGAGAAAGGAAAAATGAGAAAGCAAGCCACCAGGTTTGAGACTTGAACTGTGGTCAACCATTTGGGAGTCCAGCACCTCAACCACCAACACCATCTGCTGGACCCAATAACATTTTCTGTTTTTTTAGAGGTTTTTGCTATTGGACGCATGCACTCACCAGAAAGAGAGAGACAGAGACAGAAAGCAAGAAATCACCCACTGGGGTGATGGCCACACTGCAACCTCTTCTCCTCTAGTCTCCTCTCAGGATCTTAGGCACCCCCACACACATGCCCGATGTAAGTTTAAGCCACCAGGTCCAGGACTTGAATCATGGTCAACTACATGGGAGTCCAGCGACATAGCCATTATGCTAACTGCTGGTCCCAATAACATTTTTAAATAGCTATAAAGATTTGATGCATAAGAATATATTAGCTGCGTGAACTTGGGCAAGATTTGTGACCTCTCTGAGTACACCTCAGTTTTATCACCTGTGAAATAGTAACTACCTCATAAGATTGTGAGGATTAAATGAACTAATGAAGTAAATTGCTTCAGTAGTGTTTGGCCCATAATAGGTACTAAATAAATGGTAGTTGTGACTATTATTATGTAAAAAATATAAAAATTTGCTGTATAGATACTTAGGGCAAACAAAACAAAAAACCTAGGGCTGGCCCAATTGCCTCATGGTTATAGGAACTGATCTCACACAGTTGACACTATGCAGTTCAAATTCCAGGTCTGGCAGCTTGGAAAAAATGCTGGGTATATGTGCGTGCCCCAAATCCAAACAGGATAGAGAAATGGAGGAAAAGGGATCGTGTCATGACCATGCCCCATTGGGGAGTGCTTTCTCACTCTCCTGCCCCCTCTCTCTCTGGTGACCACATATACTCCCTGGCAATTAAAAAAAAGAAAAAAAGTATGAGGGGACTTCACAAAGTTCATAAAAAATGGAATTAAAGTACGAGCTTTTTTTTTTTTTTTTTTTTTTTTTGCCATAGGGCACATGCACTCACAGAAGAGAGAGACAGAAAGTGAGAAATCACCCTCCAGGGATGACTGATGGCCATGCCACAGGCCCTTCTCCTCCATTCTCCTTTCAGGATCTTGGGTACATAGGTACACAGACCCGGCCTGTTTTTCAAGCTACTGGGTCTAGTACTTGAACTGTGGTCGGCCACAATCAAGTGCCTAAACGACCACACCACCTGCTGGCCCCAAAGTACAAGTTTATTTGATACAGAAAAATTTTATTCCATGGACAGTTTTTTCATAATACACATTTTACATGAATTTTTTACAGCACCATCCCATATACTGATAAACATATAAGCGATTAGATTTTAAATTGGGGGAAATTTGGGAAACAATACTGAATATTCTAAGAACTGAAATGAACTTACGCTATAAGCCTCTGACCCTGGAGAACTGTGTGCTGTTGTAGCACCTCAAAGTTGTATTTCTCATCTGTAGCATGCTGGTCCACTATGAAGATATCTTCATTCAGTTTGGTTATTATAAATCCCAAATTAAACTGACCAATGATTTCCATTTCTGCAAACATTGTTTTACTGCATGTAGAAAAATGTTATTTATAAGATATTTTAAAACATTATTTTTCTGGTAATAAAACAAAACACTGTGAAAAGAATCAAATAGAAAAACATAAAATAGAAAAAGCCTAATAACCCCACTTTGTTTTTGCCAATATTGGGCCTCAATCCTTCTAATATTTCCCAGTTCACCACTGGGTCCTATGATGGGTAGTTTCAGAATCTAAGGCCATTAACTATGTACGTCAATCCTGACAAGACAAATGCCACTTCTAACCTTCATATGAGAAATGAACATTATAATTATGCAACACACATGATTCAGTTTTGTGAAAACAATATCAGCCCTGTGGCTACAAAAAAAGAGCCTCTCTCAGACCCGCAGTGGAAGCTCTCTGGTTCTCAGACAGTAGCTGGTGCTGAGAATAAAAGGAGCTGAGATTGTCATTTCTTTCAGTAAGTGCTCCAGAACCAAGGAAGGTAGCCACACCACAGGGTCATTGTTGTCATTGCTGTAGCAGTCACCGGGCTCTCAAGGCACTGGCTTTGGTTGGCACTTCACCACAGGTGACAGTTTGTTCTACTGTGATGTGGTGGCATACCAAGGACTACTACCTTCCCATTTCTCCCTGGTAAAGGCTCAGCATTGAGCTCAAGTCCAAGTCACAACTGAACCAATCCCCAAATCATCTTTGATGGTCTGTCTCCTGGGACCATTCCTGGTACCAATTCCTTATCAGGTGGAGACCAATCAAAAGATAAAAGCTACATCAGACAAAAAAACTCATAATGAAGAATTGTGAATTAGTAAAAGGCAGTTAACTACTAAACTTAGAAATACAGAAATAGTAAATGCAAGAAGCAGCTGCTATCTCTAAGGATGAGGGGATACTGTCCAAAAAGAGAACTCTTGGAAGAGGCCCCGTCTTGCTGAGGCTGTTTCAGACCTTGCTGGAACAGGAGAGGTGGCAGCCAGCTGCAGGAAAAGAAGCTGCCAGAGTGAATAGCACAGTGACCCCTGCACACTGCTGGTGGCTGCACCCCCAGTAGGAGGAAAAACCCCAGAAGCAAGGAACAAAGCTTCTCCTGTTGTCTTGCAGCACTCTGCAGATATCTAACAATGCATCAGAAGAAATGCTTACATGGTCTAGCCTCTAGGATCCAAAAGCAGGACAACAGATAGATTCAGAGTTGACAGTCACCACACTGGAATACTATTTCCCCTAACTGATTCCAGGCTCTCCCAGAAACTGATCATGCTCTGGTTCCTCAGGTAGATTATTCTTATTTATACTGGCCTTGAGATTCAGGTCTTCAGTAGGTCTCTTACTATAAAACATAGCATCATGGCCTACCTATAGTGATGCAGGCAGTGGGGCACCACCATGTAACCCTGGAGCTATATGGGAAGCCTGGGTTCAGATCCCTGGTTGACCTGAACATACTGGGTATGCATGTGATCCTGGCTGGCTAGAGGGCTGAAGGAAGGATCACAGTGTGGCAGGACCCTGTCAAGGGTCCCCTCTCTCACTTTTCTTTCTCATGAAAGAAATAAAAAATAAATACAAAAAACAAACAGCATCTGGCCCATTCATAGTGACACAGGCAGTAAGGCACCACTGTGCAATGTTGGAGCCACATGAGAAGCCCAGGTTTAGATCCTAGGTTGACCTGAACATTCCAAGTGGCAGGCTGAGGGGAGGACTATATGGCAAGACATTCTCAGATGTGTACCTGTCTCTCCCTCCCTCTCATGAAAGAAGTAAAATAAACTTAATAAAGGGGGCTGGGGAGCCTGTGTCATGGTGGTTAAAGTGACTGGATCCAACATGGCACTGCATGAGTATCAGACCGGTAGCTTAAGAAACATGCCAGTCACATGCATAAGCATGCTTTGAATCCCATAAGGAGTGAGAAATGAAGAAGGATTTGTAGCATGACCATCTGCCCTGGGGTTGCTCTCTCACTTTCTCTCTCTCAAGCAAGCACACATACTCTATGGCAAATTTAAAAACTAAACAAAACAAAAACAGGGCCAGCACATAGCATGGGGGTAAGGCCCTGGATCCCATATGGCCAACTCTGTGGTTCAAGTCTCGAACTCTGTGGCTTGAAAAACATGTCACATGCATGTGCATGCCCCAAATCCTGAGGGGAAAATGGATAAGGATTGTGGTGTGGTATCTACCCTGGGGAGTGATTTCTCACTTTCTTTCTCCTTCTCTTTCTCTCTCTCTCTCCAGGAAGTACACATGCCATATAGCAAAAATAAAAGAATAAATCAACCAAAAAAGCCACTTTGTTGTACATGATTACTGTGAGGAACATGGTAGGTAACTATTGGTATTTTCTATTATCTCTATTATTAATTGTTTCCTTAAATTGATTCTCCTTTTTACCTATCCTAGGCAATTTTCTTAAAATCTCAGATTTGACAATGTGCTACTGGGTTACTGGAAAAGTAATGACTCATTTTGGCACAGAAAAATAGAAAAATATGTTGTGACTTTCCCAACAACCTAATAATTGTCATTCTTGCTAATACACCTTAAAATGAAAAATAGGAAACAGTGATATCCACTGAAACCGCCATGAATTCAACAAAAGGAGGGGTCACTATGGGCTGAAGACCATCAAGAAGAGGGATGAAAGTAGGGTTGAGAAGGTACTGATTAGTTTGCACTGATTTAGGAAGCATGTGTTGAGAAAATCTAAGAAAAATTCTTGAACATTCTTCAAGGTGTGTGGTGAGTGGGCAGCAGGTGGCACTGTGGTTAAGGCACTGGATTCTCACATGGCCAACCACCTTTTGAGTCATGGACCTGGCAGCTTGAAAATCACACTGGGCATGTATGTGTTTGTACCCAAAATTCCAGGAAAAGAATGGAGGAGAAGGGACTGTGGCATAGCCATGCCCCTTGGTGAGTGATTTCTCACTTTCCCTCTCACTGTCTCTGTCCTTTCTGGCAAGCACATGTGCCCTATGAAAGAAACCCTAAAAAAAAAAAAAAAAATTACATAAAAAAGAAAAAGGTGAAAGAGTTCTTTAAAGAAAATTATGTGACAGAAGTGAGAAGCAATGAAAAGAAGTTGGTAAAAGCAAAAATCATTGCCAAAAATGCAGTGGCAAGACTAACAGCCAATGTGCAGTCAAAATTGACCACAGCATTAAAAACCAAGAGACGGAGCAATGAGGAAGAGGGAGAAAACCAAGAGAGGAAGGGAGAGGAAGACAGAGAAACACAGGTGAGTTTGTTTAGGATGCAGCAAGTCTGTAGTACAGGAAAGCTCCCAGGAAGGACTATTTTGACAAGCAATGGAAGCCAGAGGACAGATCCCAAGGCAGGGAGACACCCACACCTGAGCCAGACAGAAAAGATGATGTCGAAGCAGAGCAAGAACAAAGATAGCAAGAGATATCCAAGAGATACCCAGAGGAACAAATGTGGCATCTCTGGTTCACTCAGAACGACCTATCATTATCATGACTGAAACATTCTTAAGAAGAAACTTTACCTTATCTCTTTTCTTAGTTCATCTTCTGCTGCTTGGTTTTCTCCAGGGCAAATTTTTGCCCTAAATTTCCTATAATTCTGTTTGTCTTCACTTTGCTGTTCTTGGTGATGTAACTGCTTTATTCGTTTAGCTAAAGAACTCATAGAAAAGTCAAGTGTCACTATTTTCTTATTAATTTTAATAGCTACATCAACCTGAGATACTGACACATTCTGAGTATTAACCAGCTCGTGAGGAATGTCAGAATTTGAAGAAATTTCTTCTTTTTTAAAACGCTTTGTGTTTGAAGATAAGAGATCAGTTGGCTGAAGTGAAACTCTGAATTTACATCCACTATCTTCTTGGTTTACACAGTGTTCCACGTCTGAAAAACGATGGTCAGTTGCAGGTAATTTCTCACAAGATTCCACATTCCCCTGTGAACACCTGTCTTCTGGGGTGCTTACTGCACACTCACTGCTGCAGTGACTGTCCATGTCAGGAGTGCTGGGTACTTCCTCTGTGTCAGCTGAAGTACTGCTATACCCCGAGTCCTTCTCCATTTCGTCTCTGTCCACACAGTCACCAGAGACCTTATGGGAACCCACTGCCTCATCCTGAGAGCCTAGCCAGTCTCTGCCTGAGATGAGACTTACAGCGCTGGCAAACGGCATGCTTCTTTTTTGTTTAGGAGAGTTCCGCCTCGGCTCACGTGACTCCGGGTTCTGAGACCTGTTCTCTGTTGTGTAACGAAGAGAAAAGGCTTCTCTCAGTCTGGAAATGGATACTGCCCTTTTCTCTTCCCCCTGGGTCCTTAATGATGGGGAATTATCCTGCTTTGCTGGCAGAGGCCTCTCTATATCTGTCACATGAGTTCTTATTAAGTTACCTAAGTAAATATGAACAGAGAAGAGGATCAGGGACTGTATTGAAATAGGATAAGAAGAAATTGTTACATGAGGAGGCATTTCACAAAACAGAAACTCCCTAAGGTTAATGAAATTTATAAGCACTGTGCAATTGAACTGGAATATGATGTGCCTATATATACACCAGAATGAGTAAAACTTAAAAAAGAACAAATGGGGCTGGCAGGTAGCGTGGTGGTTAAAGGTGCTAGATTCCCACATGGCCAACCATGGTTCGAGTCCTGGACATGGCAGCTTGCTTTCTGCCTTTCTCTTTCTCTCTCTGGTTAAATTAAAAAAGAATAATAACAAATGGAATTAAATAAATAAATAATTTTTTAAAAAAGAACAAATGTTCACAAGGATAAGGATCATGCAAAATGTTTAAATACTGCTGGTGCTAGTGAAATCGGTACAAGTGCTTTGTAAAACTCTCAGGACACTATCTCCTAAATCTAAACTTGTACATACCTGTGGCCCAGCATCAGTTCTCCTATCAGAAATGCTCACCTATGCTTTACTGCAAGACACGTATAAGAACGCTTAAGGTGGCTTTCTTCCCTCTAGCCCCGAAGTGGAAACATCCCAAAGATCCACAATGAAACTGTGATATCTGAATACAGTGGGATACGGTACAACAACAAGAATAAATGAGTAAATGAATGACTTGCAAGAATCTCACAAACAAAACACTAACAGAAAGAAGCAAATTGCCAAAAAGTACAGACTGACTTCAAATTAAATACAGGTGAAACTAAACTATGCTATAAGAAGTCAGGAAAATGTTACCAGTGGGGATTAGGGGTGGAAAGGGGCCCAAGATGGTTCTGTGGTGCTAGTTCTTGTTATTTATAATAGAGTGTGCATGCACATGAGAGAGAGAAAGAGAGAGAAAAAGAGGGAGAGAAGCATCCTTGATAGGATCCCATTACAACGCAATTCCCTTTCCCCAGCCTTCCAGCTCATTGAGATACTGGGCAGGTATGTATATGCCTGTCACATTTCCAAGCCAACCCAAGGATCTGAACTCTTGATCAGCGATGTGGCTTCCAGGAAAAGGAGTTGGTGGATGGAAAAATCATTGCCAAAAAGAGTTCAGTTTGCTACCAACTGGCCACCAGGTTGGGCCTGTGGATGCTTTCTTGCTTTCTCTTTTTTAAATCTCTTTCTTAGGGCATGTGTACTCACCAGAGAGAGACACACTGAGAGAGAGGGAGGAAAGTGAGAAAGCATCCTCTAGAGCAGATGGTCATGCCAACAGTCCTTTCTCATCCAGTCTCCTTTCAGGATTTGGGGCACATATGCATATATACCTGGCGTGTTTCTCAAGCTGCTGGTTCCAGTACTCAAACCACACAGCAGTGCCTTAACCACTATGCCACCAGCTGGCTCTTGATCTGTTTCCATTTCTTGATCTTATATACCTAGAAGCCAAACATGTATAGTATGTTTGCTTCTGTGCAACTGCTATACGTCAACAAATTGGCTAGATGAACAGTTGTTTGGAGCAGTTTTTCTTTATGGGGCAACCTCTTAAAATGTCTTTGGAGTGAGCCCAAAGACTTCACTTCTAGCCCCCTTCACCAAAATGTGTACACCAGTGACCATCCTCCCCTATATTCCACACTAAATACTGTGCCTGATACTCTCTGATGCAGGGAACTGCTAGGAAAGGCCTGCCTCACTTCCCATGTACAATAGCTCTGCCACACAAATGCTGGTGTCTCTTTGCCCTGACCAACCCCTCAGGAGCCTTGTGCTCCCACCAAATCCTCTGACTTCCCAAAACTGCTCACCACAGTCCTCTATGAAAGCCTGTGCTATTGTCCTCCAAACTGACCTCTCCTCACCCTTGGGATATTAAGACAGAGAGCAGCCCCTGTTCCTGCTGCTTCTTGCTCTTCCCCACGCTCCTACCTTATGGCTCCTGGTACACTCAGTTTACAAAGCCTCATCCCAGAGCATGTTCCTCTCACTGGGAGCAAGAGATGAGTATCTGTCAACCTAGCTGTCAACCTTACTGTCAGCCTCCTCAGCAGCTTGCTGGTCTTTCCCCCCATAATGATGGGCATTCACTGCCTCATTTCTCCACATACAGATGTAGTGAAGAGTAGCAGGTTGGCTGACCTTCTCAAAGAAGACAGTTTCACTCAACAGAGTGGATCTGGCTGTGAAAAGGTAAATGGTTGGGGCCAGCAGGTGGCATGTCACTGGACTTCCACATCACCAACCACAGCTCAAGTCCCAGATCTGGTGGCTTGCTTTCTCTTTTCGTCTTTCTTTCTGTCTGACTGACTCTGGTGAGTGCGTGAGCCCTATAGCAAATATTTTTTTAAATAATTATATTATTTACTTTTATTTATTATTTATTCATTTGTTTATTTCAGTTGACCAGAGAGGGACAGAGAGAAGGAAAGAGAGAAAGTGAGAAAGCAAGCCATCAGGTCCAGGACATGAACCACAGTCGGACATGTGGGAATCCAGCGCCTTTAACCACCATGCCACCTGCCGGCTCCGAGCTCTATAGCAAATTTTAAAGTAATGATAAATAAAATTAAGTAAATAATTCTTTAAAAAAAAATAAGGGGGCGGGGAATGACTAACCTTTCCTCAACCAAAGAAAGAAACCAGGGCTCCTTCCTAGATGACCCAGATATACTTAGTTTTGTTAAACAAAAATAAAGTAAATGGCTGATAATTTATGACCTGGAGCAAAATAATGATTGTATATAATATCACAGATATCAAGTCAGTTTTGTGGCAACTCTCATTTCAACATATCTGGTGAAGACTGTGTAAGGCTGACCTCAGGGAATGGCAGAATACCAAAATTCCCTCCTGAGGGAAAGGAATAAGAAAACTGGCAAAAATTGTCAGAATCAACTTTTGCAGAACTTCTGAAATTAATGAAAGGCTTGCAAAAATCAGAAAGTGTTTATTTAAGAAAAATGGCCAAGTCTCAGTAAGAACAGCGACCTTTGTGACCTTTTAACTTGGCCTACACCCAGCCCTGTCCTATCCTCGAAAACCAACAGACTGAGATCACAGCAAAACAGCAGCAGCCTGGCAGCTGCCAGAGGAAACAGAAAGGGGTTGGAACTCCTTCAAAGCCTCAAGCCCCAGAGAACTATGATTATCTGATCTGTCTGGTGGTTTCTGGAACACTACACTTGCAAGGCTATGTGTATCTGTTCTGACTCAGAGTTCACCCAGTGCAAAAAGTCTTTCCCTTGAGGGCCTTTGTCAAATCAATTCAAAGCAATTGTCTATTATCACAGCTTAAGGCATTGGATAAACAGCTGGGCAAACAGACTAACCAAAAAGCTTAAAAGGAAACATTTAGTAATGAAGTGCCCATAAAGGCTTTATTTATTTATTATTTGGGGAGAGTATTTTTGCTATAGGGTGCGTGAGCTCCCCAGAAAGACAAAGAGAGAAAGTGAGAAATCACCCCCCCCCAAGGGGGGATGGCCAGGCTACAATCCCTTCTCCTCCATGCTCCTCTCAGGATCTTGGGGGCGTGAGCACACACACATACACACACACACACTCGCCTGGAGTGAGTTTAAGCCACCGGGTTCGGGACTCAAACTGCAGTCCGCTACATGGGAGTCCAGCAACATAGCCATTACACCAACTGCTGGTCCCATCTTATAGAGGATTTTTATTTTTTGGAGAGGTTATTTGCTATAGGGTACGTGTGCTCACCAGAAAGACAAGAGAGAGACAGAAAGCAAGAAGTCACCCCCCAGGGGGGATGGCCACGCCACAATCCCTTTTCCTTCATTCTCCTCTCGGGATCTTGGGCACGCACGCACATGCACCTGACGTAAATTTAACTCAAACTGCAGTCGACTACGTGGGAGTCCAGCGACATAGCAATTATGCTAACTGCTGGTCCCCTTATAGAGGCTTTTAAAACTCCCATCTAATGGCCAGCCCCTTAGCAGGTAGTTAAGGGAGCTGGCTCCATGTGGCTGACCACAGTTAAAAATCCTAGGTCTGGTAGCTTGAAAACCATGCCAGGCATGTGTGTATTTGGTGCCCAAAATCCTGACTGGATGGAGAAATAAAGGAAAAAGAATTGTGGCATCATGGGGGTGCTTGCTTTCTCTCTCTCTTTCTCTCTGTCTTGTGAGCATGCAAGCTTGTTGGTAATTAAAAAGGAAAACTCTGGGACCAGCAGATGGCGTAATAGTTACGTTGCTGGCCTACCCCTAGCCGATCCCAGTTCACATCCTGGGTTGATGGTTTAAAACTCACACTAGGGGGAACCAGCAGTTAGCGTAATGGCTATGTCGCTGGACTCCCACGTAGTCGACCGCGGTTCGTGTCCCGAACCTGGTGGCTTAAATCTCACGCCGGGCGCGTGTGCGTGCGTGCCCAAGATCCCGAGAGGAGAATGGAGGAGAAGGGATTGCGGCGTGACCATCCCCCCTGGGGGGTGATTTCTCGCTTTCTGTCTCTCTGTCTCTCTCTGTCTGTCTGGCGAGCGCACGCGCCCTATAGCAAAAACATCTCCAAAAAAAAAAAAACTCACACTAGGCATGTCTATGTACAAGCTCAAAATCCCGAAAGGAGAATGGAGAAGAGACTGTAGCGTGGTCATCCCCCTGGGGGATGATTTCTCACTTTCTGTTTCTCTGTGGCAAGCACACAAGCCCTATAGCAAAAATCTCTCTTAAAAACAAAACAAAATAAAACAAAAACCTTTTAAACTGGGGCCGGCAGGTGGCTTGGTGGTTAAGGACACTGGACTCCCACATGGCCGACCACGGTTCGAGTCCTGGACCTGGAGGCTTGCTTTCTCACTCTCTCTCTCATTCACTCTGTCTCTCCCTGTTCAAAATAAAATAAATCAATAAAATTAAATAAAATAATTCTTAAAAACAAAACCTTCTTAAACCTAAAAATCTAGAATGCTACTTGAATGCTCAGAAAATAACCAAAAAGACCTTAAGCTCTCACCTCTGGCCAGCGATGAATCTCTATGCAAGCAGCAGCGAAGGCTAAGGCAGAGTTGTCAACTGCCTGGCTGAGTGTTGAAGGTATGCCCTGATAAGCTCAGATTACCCCAAGACTGAGAGACTTGGGTTCAGGCATTTAAGAAAATCTCTACCCATACATAATAGGCTAACCAGTAAGCTAGCAAAACAGATTTCGGTTGCTACACATAAAAAAAAATAAAAATTTTACAGAATTTGTTGAGGTTTTATTTTTTGTTTATTTGTTTTTGATTTTGTTTCTTTCAGAAAAGTAAAAAAAAAAAAAAAAAAAAAAAAAAAACAAGGAACCCACAAGT